TTAGAATAGGTTTCAGGTTTTTTAGTTGCCAAGGAAATGTTTTTTGATATCATAGAAACTGGATTAAAGAGAGCTATCACATTTTGTTTAAGGAGTCAAAAATCACCTATTGTGTTTTATAGTGAATAAAAATTTAATTTAGCATTTCTAAAACTTCTCTGACATTTACATACTTCTTAGACCAAATAACTCTTCAATAAGAAAAAAATAAATACTATTTGTGAACTATATTTTTGAAAACTAATCTATCCTTCCAGATTTGTATTTACTAGAATCACACTTATAGCACCTAATAATTTCCAGGTACTTTTACTTACATATTGCTTATATGATTCATACCTAGAATAGTACTTATCATACAGTGGAACCAATAAACATTTATTGAATGAACATATATAATCCTCACAACCACGTGAAGAGGCCATATTAACTTTCATTATTATCTCTATTTATACATAAGAATAATGAGGTTCAGAAACATTAACCAACTTCACAGAACCAAAAACTATGGAACTAAAAGGCTATAACCACATGTGTGTCTTTTGGAGTTAAAATCTCTTTAGGCTAATGTAATAATAAATCTTGTGAACACATTCTTCAAGGCTATCTTGACCTATTTTAAGTATGAAACCCTGTAACAATAAACATTAAAGTAAAATACTAGTAGGAGTTCAATTAGTTCCTGACTATCAAGGTAATACTATAAATGCTTTCCAAGACTAAGATACTTGAATAACTATTAGGTAGGTTTAAATTTAAAAAACCAAAAATGTACAAAATTTTAAATGTCTAGTAGATTTAAATTAATTTGCCATAGATGTTTGGCTAAAATTAAGATCAAGAGACCATAATAGAAGACAACAATGAGAAAAAAGAGAACTAAATTTATATATATATTTTTTACCTTTATTTTATTTATTTATTTTTATGTGGAACTGAGGATTGAACCCAGTGTCTCTCACGTGTTAGGTGAGTGCTCTACCACTGAGCCACAACACCAGCCCCAAAAGAACTAAATTTCAATTCATCAACAGATAGTTGTTATTCTGAAAATTATGTATCACAAATATCATATGTAAAGAACAGATACACATACCACAACAAGATATATAAATCATATCTCTGTACTTTACTATATCAAAACGGACATGACTTTGCCATGGAACTCAGTTGTGAACACAAAATTGCTTTAGTAGGTTATATATCACCAACAATAAGTTAATAAGTAAGTAATAAACAAGAATAGAACTCTTAGAATTCATATTTTAAAAGTATGAATTATTTGTATAAAATAAAATAATACTATTTTATCTTTTGGGGATTATAAAAGTTATATTTATTCACCATGGTACATTTACTGCATTCCCCTACGAAAAGGGAGAACTATTTTTGTATCCAATTTGTATATATAAAAGTTTGTACAAATTATGTGTAGCACATAAAGGCCTCTGTTACACCTAAAATCCAGATACTACTATTTGGGTATTCCTGCTTCAGGATCTCCAGTTTATCAAGTCTGTTCCATAGAAAATAAAAACTAGAATTATACGCAGTCTTGCTGTTAACACTTAGAAATTATTTTAAAATATAATAAAATAAAAATTTCCTTAACTTTTAAACTCAAAAAATTCTATAAACTGGGAGTGAATACATTTTGTTAACAATTTTAACAGTATGACAAATTCATACCTTATTGTAGTTCGGTTTTTATAATTTTTTTTTAAAAAATCACCTTAGTTGTGACATTATCTTTCTAATTTATGGCTATTTCAAAAGGTCATTGTCAAAATATTTACCGAATACTTTAAAAAATAATAACATTCCTTGACTAAATAATATAACACCTTAAGGAATCAGAAAATACTAAATTTCTTTGGCTATGCAACTAAAAGGCCATTCTTCCAACAGAATAGAGCATAGTCACTTCAGAAACATTGTAAAAAAACAAAGCATAACAGAAATATGCATACAAATCAAACACTATTTTATGTAAGTAAATAAATAAATAAAATAAAATTCTGATCACCTACATTTAGACTACTATATTGGACAACAAAAGCCATATTTACATTTTGTTTGGATTCTAATTCTGAGAAAAGATAGTAAGTCAAATATTCTTTATCTTACTGGTTTAAAAATAATTTTAGCTAATGATCCTTTTCTAACACACTACAAACATTGTAGAGACTGACTTATATGACTTATAAAATCAGCTCTTAAAGACCTGTTCATAGTATAAAAAACAAAAACAAAAACAAGATTAGATTTTTTAAAAAAAGTTATTACTTGGCAATATTAGAGTAATAATTGAGCTAGGAAACATCAATAGATACCAAAATTAGAGGGAAAAAGTCTGATGAGTAGCAGTGTGTACATAATCTCAAAGAAACTAATTCATATCAACATACTTATTGATAATATAAATTAAAAATTCTTAATTTCAAAGGGAAAAAGAATAAGTTTATAGTAGCGACACAGCACATAAATTCCTAATCAAGGAATCAAAAGATACTGCAAATATGAGAGAAAGAAAAAATAAGTTTGGGGTTAGAGGTGGAACTCGGTGGTAAAGTGCTTAGCTAGCATGAGGTAGGCCCTGTGTTCCATTCCCAAGAGCACACACACAAAAGGTTTTACTTGAGAAGATGTAAAAATAATAAGGACAGTGGAAGGAGACGGTCATCATTATACAAAATTCATGTATGAAGATGTAAATTTGGTGTCAACATAACATATGTACAAACAGAGATTTGATAAACTGTTGTATAAAGGTGTATTAAAATTTTAATGCAAAAAATTATGAATGTAATGCACTCCACTATTGTTATGTATGTAAGAAATAATAAAATAATAATAAAAAAATTAAAAAAAATAATACATTATAATCTCTCTAGGATATGCTGCCAAAAAAGTGCAACCTGAATGTAATCATGAGAAAACATCAGGCAATACTGAAGCACATTTATGTACAAAATAAGTGCTTAATAATTTTTATAATTTACCTGATATGAAAGTTAAAAAC